TTGTTTAAAATCTGTGAGAAACCGATCCATCTTCAGCACATATAAACGCCATTCCATTGTCAGTAAGTGAATAAAAAGAAATATATATGTAAGAAAACTAAGTGAGAAAACCTAGATCGGCTTATCTTGAAGTTATTCATTAATGATAAATGAATAGTTAAGTGCGGAAATGAGAAATTCGTCTTCGTGTTGTAATGACACAGAGACTGAAGACAATTTGTCAAAATCATTCCAAAGACGTTTGTACCCAGTGAACTGACGACTGTTCAATTACCATAGCTTTTGCGCCACAATCCGACTTATTGGACCCGTGTTACAAGTATTAAACTTGTCAGATAAAATCTTGCAATTTCAGCACTAAGTATTTTGCCTTATCTTGCAAGGCATTCCCCGCATTGCACTGCACATTATCATCCCTGTATGTAAAAGTGGCAGTCGGTGTCTACGTGTTTATGTTAGGCACATATTTACAGCTTTCTCCAAACGTCTTCCACACAGAAAGAAGATTACAGACAAGACGCGAGTGTTGTTGCTCGACACGAGATGATGGTTTCTTGTTGTGTATATGCGTCTGTGCACTCGCACGATTTTCTCGCTTGTTACTGTCATCATGTCTAGACAGTTCGGCACGTGCTGCTCGTGCTGCTCGTGGTAAGTGCAACGCTGATGAGCCGGCTGCACTTTAGCAATGTATGAAAACATGCACGCCTTTCAGTCCTTCTATTCGGCCAACATCGCCCATGTTTTCCAGTCGATGCACGAGAGGTGAACGACTGAACGTATTTGAAATGTTACCAAACATGTCCCGTGATGGAGTCGTGGCCAGATAATTATACTGTGTCGACAGGCGTTATAAATGGGCCAGAAAGTACATCTCCTTGATATACTTGCTGATGTGATGGAGGTTTTCCAAACATTTTGGCTGCTACGCATACAAATATAAATCCAAGCAACACCATATGATCTCAATCCTTCACGTTCTGTCCATCACCTGGTGTGTGTAAGCACAATAGAGGTACCCATAACATCACTTGTGTGTGTAAACAAACTGGATGCACCCATAACATCACTTGTGTACATAAACAAAGTGAAAGTAACCAATTCATCAGCTGTTGTGAGTAAACAAAATAAAGGTACCCATGACATCACCTGGTGTGTGTAAAGTGCAGGTAAATGAGGTGCTTCAATCTACCAGCTTATCCCGGAGATACGTCACATCTAAGGTGGTTTATTTATCATGTATTCACAGACATACGTCACATCTAAGGTGTTTTATTTTATCATGTATTCACAGACATACGTCACAACGAAAGTGCTATATTTTATCATATATTCACATCTAAGGTGTTTTATTTATCATGTATTCACAGACATACGTCACATCTAAGGTGCTATTTTATCATATATTCACAGACATACGTCACATCGAAAGTGTTTGAGTTTATCATGTATTAACTGACTGACTGAGTTTGGCTTTACGCCGCTTTTAGCAATATTCCAGCAACATCACGGCGGGGACACAAGAAATGGGCTTTACACGTTGTACCCATGTGGGATTCGAACCTGGTCTTCGGCGTGACGAGCCAACGCTTTAACCACTAGACTACCCCACCGCCCCTCATGTATTAACAGACATACGACACATCTAAGGTGTTTTATTTCACCATGTATTCACAGACATACGTCACATCTAAGGGGTTTCATTTTATCATGCATTCACAGACATACATCACATCTAAGGTGCTTTATTTATCATGTATTCACAGACATACGTCACATCGAAGGTGCTTTATTTTATCATGGATTCACAGACATACGTCAAATCTAAGGTGTTTTATTTTATGATGTATTCAAAGACATACGTCACATCTAAGGGTTTCATTTATCATGTATTCACAGACATTCGTAACAATTAAGGTGCTTTATCTTAACATGTATTCACAGACATACATCACATCTAAGGTGCTTTATATTACCATGTATTCACAGACATACATCACATCGAAAGTGCTTTATTTTATCATGTATTCACAGACATACGTCACATTTAAGGTGCTTTATTTTACCATGTATTAACAGACATACGTCACATCAAAAATGCTTCATTTTATCATGTATTCACAGACATTCGTCACATTTAAGGTGCTTTATTTTATCATGCATTCACAAACATACGTCACATCGAAGGTGCTTTATTTTATCATGTATTCACAGACATACATCACATCTAAGGTGCTTTATTTTACCATGTATTCACAGACATACGTCACATCGAAAATGCTTTATTCTATCATGTATTCACATGCCTCATATCTGTCGAGCTTTGATATAGAATCTACACACGGATTTACGTCATATCTGACGACGTTGGATTCCACATTTATTCACAGACACACGTCATATCTTAAGAAATTAATGTACCATGTATTCACAGACATCCTTCATATTTTAAGAACTTTATATACCATATATTCACAAACACACGTCATATCTGAAGAACTAAATGTACCATATTCACAGACACACGTCATATCTATCCTGAGAACTTAGTGTACCATGTATTCACAGACATGCATCCTATCTGATGTACCACTTATTCAAAGACATGTCATTATGACCTACTTCAATCTACCATTTAGTCACGTGCCATCTATTCACTAACATGTATCATATCTAAAGAAGTATTATTTAACATCTATTCACAGATATACGTCATATCTGACGAGCGTTAATCTACTATCTAGTCACAGACGTACGACCTATTTGAGGAGATTAAATGTACCATGTACGACATATCTGACGAGCGTTAATCTACTATCTATCACAGACGTACTATCGAGATTAAATGTAATCATATCTGAGACGTTAATCTACTATCTACGTACGTCCTATTTGAGGAGATTAAATGTACCATGTACGTCATATCTGACGAGCGTTAATCTACTATCTAGTCACAGACGTACGTCCTATTTGAGGAGATTAAATGAACCATGTACGACATATCTGACGAGCGTTAATCTACTATCTAGTCACAGACGTACGTCATATCTGACGAGATTAAATGTACCATGTACGTCATATCTGACGAGCGTTAATCTACTATCTAGTCACAGACGTACGTCCTTTTTGAGGAGATTAAATGTACCATGTACGTCATATCTGACGAGCGTTAATCTACTATCTAGTCACAGACGTACGTCTATTTGAGGAGATTAAATGTACCATGACATACATGTTAAACTATGTTGTACGTCATATCTGACGAGATTAAATCTACTATGTCACAGACGTACGTCCTATTTGAGGAGATTAAATGTACCATGTACGTCATATCTGACGAGCGTTAATCTACTATCTAGTCACAGACGTACGTACCATGTACGTCATATCTGACGAGATTAAATGTATTAAATGTACCATGTACGTCATATCTGACGAGCGTTAATCTACCATCTAGTCTGACGAGATATCTACTATCTAGTCACAGACGTACGTCCTATTTGAGGAGATTAAATGTACCATGTACGTCATATCTGACGAGCGTTAATCTACTATCTAGTCACAGACGTACGTTGTATTTTAGGAGACTAATTGTACCATGTACGTCATATATGACGAGCGTTAATCTACCATCTAGTCACAGACATACGTTGTATTTTAGGAGACTAATTGTACCATGTACGTCATATTTGACGAGCGTTAATGTACAATCTGGTCATAGACATACGTCATATTTGAAGAGATTAAAAGTAAAACGTATTTACAGACATACGTCACATCAGCGTAACTTAAAAATACTACCTATTCACATCCATATATCATACCGGTCCCCGGGTTACTTTGACATTAATGCACAGGAACGGCAACAACTGCATTACGAGGCTTAGTAACCTTACACCATCGTCGACATGACATACACAATGCTCCTGCATTTGAAAGCCTACAATAATATTTTTTTCAGCACCAGGTCTACATAGCTTATCTGCGCTGCTTCGGCTAGACAGATGAATCGTGTAAACAATAAACACTGCAGGGTCCCTCTGCCTGCACAATTGAAATGCTGGCGTTAATGTCCAAATTGCCTTTTCCCGGTTGTTCGCCTCACTGCAGCACAGTTCAGCAATACTTTGAGAGCCTCGGTTGTAACTCTTCCAAAGCCTGACTGTATAAACAACTTCTTAAAGGACATGTCTTATCGAATTTCTAGACTGGCACTGAGGCAAATCGGTGACAAGTTTGGTGCTTCTTAAAAAACGAAGCTTCTTCTAAAAACAGAAGCAAGAGCAACCTCAATATACAAGATGACATTCCATCCTCTGAAGTGTTCTAATAATAACCACATAGCGACCCTGTTTCAGGCTAAAATCTTTATGTATCTTTATGTACCACTTTTAGTACCTTCATGTAACACTTTATGTACCTTTATGTACCACTTTATACACCGTTATGTACCACTTTCTGTACCTTTATGTACCTTTATGTACCACTTAATGTACCTTCATGTGCCACCCATTATTCCCCCTACCATTGCGCAACGTGATAGCTGATTCCTGATGATATGTAATATATGTGTGTGAAACAAAACATGTCATAAAACAATGGCATCTCGTGCGATTATTGTCCCGTTGCGGAGAATAACATTCTCAATTTTCAGGTCATTTACGATAAGTAAAGCAAACAGGTTTATTAACCCTAAAAGAAAGAATTTCTCTAATGGGAAATAGCTCTCTGAAACGAGGTCAACATATTGTGAGATATGTAGATACAAGCAAGGGCAGAACTGCAGCAATATTGTGCTTAATCGGCAAAATCCAATGCTGAGTAAGTCGTTCAGCCGGCGACGTCACATGACGTTACCGAATACCTTTTTGGGTCACACTGGAACAAAACGTGTCCAGTTTGGTCCATGCAAAGGATGGTAAACCCTTCATTTGCACTAAAAAGGAGTTATTCACAAGCAATAAAAAAGAGGTTTAAGTAGAAAAACAGACTTGCCTTGTAGCCTCGTTCTGGACAACGGTTGGTTGACGAGCTGATGGAAAAGAGGCTTGTAAAGGTTAAAGTCCATTGTGGAGGTGCAGCAGAAATCAGGACATTCCTTTTTACTCCCGGCGTGGGCGTTGAAGCGGAACGAGATGAATTTCTGGAGTGGGTATGGTACCTCCAAAATTCCGTATACCAGACCTGTACCTAAGCGTTTCCGGGTGGATGACTCCATTTGAAAAGCTGTATTTTTTTTAGAAAGCCTCAGTTTAGAGACTACCGCCTCCACGCCTCGCTTGAGCTAACTCCAAGTAATGCTATATCTTAATACTTCCTTGATGAGAAAACTTCTTCATTCACAAATAGTTACACGTCCCGACATCTGGAAAACTAACACACTTAGAAAAGGATACATAATAACATACATTCAGCTTTTCCTCTAGCGAATTAGAACCAAATTCAACTTGCAGCTGTCACTGTGCTTACTTTGCTGAACGCAGCGGGTCAAATCAAGATTGAACCGATTTGGACATTCATAAAACATTATTGAGAACCTATTTGCTTTTACCTCAGGCAATTTGCATCAATGCTGAGAAAATAGCATTAATGAAACCACATGTGCTTATTTGTGTCTGGTTGACTGGCATACCTCAATGTACCTTGGTCGCCTGACCTGTACAACAATTCGTGCATTTAAAACCAGGACCTGCAAACACTAGCTGTCACCGTCCCGCTCTACCGCTACAGTAAGTCTGTATAGTGTGTGAAAATGAACAACACGTTTCTTGCATTCTCAGTCTTGCTGTTCCCGAGGTATTTGATTCCGAGTTGAAGCTATGTCAACTGTTCTATTAAAGCATTGCCCGCAGCCATCAGAACATCCTGCACGGAACTTCCGGTTTAATTTTCCTGACAATGTTTTGGCGATGGTACAGATCATGGAACTGTTTGTGGTATGCGCGCTATAAATAGGTGTCAGCATTGCATTGCAGATCAATATTCACTGGGACAGACGTACACAATCCGTATTCGAGAGGACACACGTACACAATCCGTATTGGCAAGGAGACGTACACAATCTATATACTACGATGTGGACCCATCCGAATGACACATTCATACATACACGCCACGTCACTCAGTGACGTCATATATACGTCATCTACTGACGTCATAGTGTACGTCACAATATGTCGCCAGTATGGCGACGAACACACATACCTTCCACAATTTGTGCCACACAGTAGCAACAATGTGACAGGATTGACCCTTGGCCTCGGCATATCGACATGTGTTAAACTGTTATCATAAGCACATTCTCTTCCTGTTCTATGTGCCCCAAAGAGAAAAGGGCATCTGATATGGCCATAATTGAAGCCATCCTCTGGTATTTTTGACCAAAGCTAGCACCACTCGTATTTTATAAAGGCATATACACAACACACGCTTTTCTTCCAGAGAATATGAATTCCGTGCTTGTACTGAACACAATTATTTCCACGCATGACCATTGTATACACATTTAGGTCTGACCAGCGTGGCACTTTACAGAGGTAAGGATGTGGCACGAGATGAACGACACACCCCCGCGAATGCACAAATTAATAAATACATGTATGTAAGATATATCAGCAATGAAGATGGTTATCTCCGCACACTCTGTCAAGCATAACACGGATCTCCCAGCGAATGTCGCTCATGTAACCGTTCAATGAATTGAATAGGTTTCCCATACTGTGTTCTAAGCCATGCATGTTGGATATCATTTCTCTGGTCTTATGTTCAAACCGGTCCGACCCCGACTGCAGCTCACTCACATAGTGTTCATGTTTGGACGTTAATCCATTGAGATCCCGTATCTCGTGTCTGTTCCTGATCACCATGTCCCTGTAGTTACTCAAGCGTCTCTCCATCTTATCAAGACGCATAATCATGGCTTTTTTGGCTTCATATTCAGCCATAACGTTCATAGGCATATCGCTATACGCTACACTTTGCAATATCTCTAAACCGGCTATTTTACCGTTTTGCGAGTTAATGCGATTGCGCATCTTCCTATATTTACGTTTCATTGTTGACACATTTTTCTCAATGCTTTTCAACTTTTTCTTATAATTATTGTTTCCTGACCTTACACCTGACCTCGATTTTTCCAGTCGGTCGACTTTCTTTTGAAGATCCGACACAATCCTCTCTAGTGATAGTACGCCCATTGTTGGCGTGGTAGTCGACGGCACTGTTTGTGCAGTTGTCATGGTAACTTTTTCTGTCCTCGCCGGCATGAGTGTTGTTGTTGTAGCTGCGATTGTTGTTATTGTTGTTTCTGGCATGGTAATAGCGTTAATTTCGTCTGGGGAGGTCCGGGGCGTGGGGACGCTTGTGACATTTTCCATGTCATTATCTGGCTCATGTGTCGAAACGGTTGCATTCGTTGTGTCGATAGAGTTATTTCCCTTACCCGGCGTGTTGTCCCAAAAACCCGCTTCTGTTTCATTCACAACCACTGAAATATCTGTAAGATTCGCTGAAGGTGTTACACTGTTCAACACAATATCCTCGTCCGTCTCATTTTTCAACATAGTATCATTCCCAAACAAAGTATCAATTTTCAACACAGTATCATTTTTCCATGAAATATCCGTTTCCAACAATGTGTCATTTTCCAACAGTGTATCCTTTATCAACACTGTATCCGTTTTCAACACCGAATCATTTTTTAAAACAGTATCCGTTTTCAACAGGCCGTCACTTTTCAACAATGTATCATTTTTCAACAATGCATCACTTTTTACATCGTCAATGACAACCGTGTCGTTTTTCACCACATTTACAACCAGAGTTTCATTTTTGACAATCTCCACATCCACAGAAAAACTCTTTGAAGTATCTTTAAACTCTTTACCCTTTTTCTTGGGTTTTCTTTCTTCTTTCAATACCTCGTTCCTGTCCTTGCCCTTTGACACAACCTTTATCCTAGCCGTGCCTGTAGCCACTTTGTTTGGGTGGATTTCCTGGGTATTTTGAACATCTTCAACTGTTTGCCTAGCAACAAAAGCTTCTAAATAGTTTATCCTGTTGTCATGGTCTTTCAGTGCAGTCCTAATTTTTCGAGATTCTTCAACAATGACATTTTCAAATTTTTCCAACGCCGGCAGCAAATGCATCAAGGCATCGTCGTCGCTCCTCTGTATGGTAGCATTCATCAGAGACGAGAATATTCCTTGCATGTAGATCATTTCGACGTCGTCAGGGTGAAGCCTTTCCAATGATCTAGGCACGCGACGCCTTGCATTAGCACTGCCTGGTCCCTCCTTTGATCTCATTTGTCCAAAACTTATCAACAGCGATGTCATCCCTGTCAAAAACACCAGGGCACTGGCCACGTGTATGACATGAGCCAGAGTTGGTCTGGCCATGCTGCTAGTGTAAGAAGTGGTCACTGTAGCTGTACCGTTACACATGCCATGGAGGTGGCGAGGAGCGACATCGCAAGCATCTGGAAGGCTACCCGCGTTCCGCCTGTAGGCTGACTACTTCACTGAGCTCGGTAACTGTAAGCATGGCCCGTCGACAACGCGGCCTACCAGCCGGCTTGACTATACACTCAAGCTCTATTCGCGGGAGCGGTTTTTGCAAACACGTATACAAAACGGCGACAAAAAAATCCTTGCGTTTTGAATTTTGTAATGAAACCTTGAAATAATCGTGGGAAATGGGGCTAGGTGCCAATCTGGCATCCTAATTAGTCGTTCGACTTATTTATAGTGTCAACACCACATATTTAAAGAGCCTCAAAGATTTGAAACGAAAACATGTGTTCAAGCTATCAAACCAATCAAATTTTCCGGGTGAAAAAAATTGGACGTTCGCTAGAACCGTCTTTGATTTTACTTCAGAATTCTTTGAGAGCAGTAGTGTAAGTAGGGTCGTTGATACTATAGATGTCACTCGTGGATCGGAAGCGGCCATGCTTCATAAGTCCGCTGACTGAGCGCTAGTGGGAGTAGCCTGCTTCATTCACCGTCGCTGCACGGACGGGAATGAATGATATGTTCCAGCAGCGTTGAACGCCCGAAAGGTCCCCTACACTCGGGATTATGACGAATGGTTAGGTCGAACTTGTCTCATAAAGATACGTTTGTTTTAGATACTGTCTCGCAGATACGTCGGTTTGTCATAAGATGCCATATACCGGTGACTTATGTTTAGGGAATTGCCTCTTCAAACTGTTAAACGTCTGTTGTGTTTGGGCGCTGATGGGCTGTTCTGTTCCTCAGTGACCTTGATCGGTGGTCTGAAAACAGAGTAAAAGACACGTAGAGATGATGGATGTAAAACTGAATGTACAAACAACTCTGCAGTGTGAAATAATCCGGGTTCGATGCTTCATCCAGCTGCTCCACCACACCATACCTGTATATCAGCTGTATGTTCCAGTACCCAGCTGTACACACAACCGACAACACCACCTTCGTCCGGATAACTGAACATCCGGATATCTGGATTTCTGTCATCCAGGCTTACCGTATATTATTGTCTATAAGCCGAATTTTGAGGATGAAAAAAACAGTGTGTAGGAGGGGGCGGCTTATCTTCATGAGTTACGCTTTCGTCAAACTTTTTTCCAGGGGTAAGAAAACAACATCATATCACTTACATATCACAAACAACAGAAGACAACTTTGTCAGTAAAGACGTCAAATTTGCATATATACACATGTATAACAACTATATTCCTCAGGTATTGCCTATGTACACCCCATCTGTATACACATACCAACTATATACACATGTATAACAGCTGTATTCCCCTTGTATTGCCTATGTACACCCCATCTGTATACACATACCAACTATATACACATGTATAACAGCTGTATTCCCCTTGTATTGCCTATGTATACCCCATCTGTATACACATACCAACTATATACACATGTATAACAGCTGTATTCCCCAGGTATTGCCTATGTACACCCCATCTGTATACACATACCAACTATATACACATGTATAACAGCTGTATTCCCCTTGTATTGCCTATGTATACCCTATCTGTATACACATGTATAACAGCTGTATTCCCCTTGTATTGCCGATGTACACCCCATCTGTATACACATACCTACTATATACACATGTATAACAGCTGTATTCCCCTTGTATTGCCTATGTATACCCTATCTGTATACACCAAACTGACTGCAGTCTCAGCCACGAATATTACTCTGCCATATTCTTGGTGGAGAACCGGTCACAGTCGCTTTTGAAAAAGCATTTTTCCATTTTTCGAAAGGAGGGGCAAGATGATTTTAAAATGTTTATTTTATTTTTAAAATCATGTATCCTTCCCTTTATGCATTAAACAACGCTCCCAACCCTGCTACCCCGATAAAACACAGTTTAGGAAAGGACTACAAACGTAAGACGCTATTGAATTATTTGTTTTGTTTGTTTGTTCTTTAACGCCACAATCAGCAATGTTCCAGCTGTATGGCGGTAAATAATCGAGTCTGGACCAGACAATCCAGTGATCAACAGCATGAGTATCAATCTGCGCTATGGGGATACGATGACACGTTTCAACCAAGTCAGCGAGCCTGACCACCCGATCCCGTTAATCGCCTTTTACGACAAGCATGGGATCCTGAAGACCAGTTGTAACCCGTATCTTCTCGTGCCGACTGAATAGACTAGGTGGCCAGTGACAAGGGTTACGGCGTGCCATCCAATCTGGACGGTGGTCATAATATCAACCACTGGACTAGGCTGGACTCGTGACATCACCACAACACTGGAGCATACAGTAAAACTCCCTTGTCTCGAACTCCTTTGTCTCGAAGTAAAAGCTGAGTCCTACGCATTTCTGCTTAAGTCATCATTTGGCGATTGTGTCCAACTTACGTAGGACTCGAAGTAAAAGCTGAGTCCTACGTATTTCTGCTTAAGTCATCATTTTGTGGTGGAACCTCGGATGATACGAAGAATTTACGTAAGTCCCTTCAACTTCGACACAGCGGTGTTTGATTGTAACAGACAGCGTAAGACAACAAACAAATTTAACACGACTCCCCTCTCTGAACCAAAAAATTCTCGGCCTGTAAACCTCCCCAACTCAACTCGCCTGCATCCTGACATCCATAGAAGCTAGAATATATAAGCACCATATCCCCACTGAACTCCTGGCAATGCTTGTACACCTTTTCCGGTGATAAACTTTGACGTGCTTACAAAATCAACAACTTATCAAATCAAGAAATAGCTCATGTCTTTGATCGCTTCCTGCATTCGGCTGATGCTAGCGGTGTCGTCTTACTTGGAATATATTCCTTTATTCTTCCAACTGAAACGCTGAGATATGTTTCCAATATTAAGGCATATTCCCAAGTGCCATATATCTGAAGACATACACAGACTCTGCAAGTCAGTATGTTAGACATTGGATTCTTCAGCCGCACTCCCACACCAGTTACTCTTTAAGGGTTCCACTGGGAATAGGTCTCGGTCGGAATGGCAGCGGTTATACTGGAAAGACCTAGGTCAGACTCCTGGAATAGCAATAAAGGGTGAGCGAGCATGTTTTTCTGCCGTTTTTAGCAATATTCCAGCAACATCACGACGGCGGAGACAAGAATTAGGCTCCACATTGTACCCATGTGTTGACGTGTCGAAAGAACGTTAAAACCACTTTGCTACCAGTCCAGAGGAAAGTTTCCACTAAGCAGGAATCATTTTCTCACAGCTGTTTCCTGATATCTCCAGTACATCTCACAAGAAAAAGGAACAGATCGTGACATCTGAAGTTCACAAACAGATCGTGACATCTGAAGTTCACAAACAGATCGTGACATCTGAAGTTCACAAACAGATCGTGACATCTGAAGTTCACAAACAGATCGGGACATCCGAAGTTCACAAACAGATCGTGACATCTGAAGTTCACAAACAGATCGTGATATCTGAAGTTCACAAACAGATCGTGACATCTGAAGTTCACAAACAGATCAGGCACCGAAGTTCACAAACAGATCGTGACATCTGAAGACATCATCTGAAGTTCACAAACAGATCGTGATATCTGAAGTTCACAAACAGATCGTGACATCTGAAGTTCACAAACAGATCGTGACATCCGAAGTTCACAAACAGATCGGGACATCTGAAGTTCACAAACAGATCGTGATATCTGAAGTTCACAAACAGATCGGCACATCTGAAGTTCACAAACAGATCGGCACATCCGAAGTTCACAAACAGATCGGCACATCCGAAGTTCACAAACAGATCGGGACATCCGAAGTTCACAAACAGATCGAAGTTCACAAACATCGGGACATCCGAATACCGAAAGCACGAACCATTCATTAACATTCATAGGGCAGTGATTCATTATTCATCGTGAGTTAGTGTTGACATTAGCCGCTGTCGAGACAGACAAAATGGTGGAAGAATAATCTGACAAAGAAAGTGTGATTTCCAACATCACGTGTGGTAATTCGCTGAAAAATACAGAGAGATGAAAGTTGGCCAAAATCGTGTATTTTCTTCTTTAACGACAAAGTACCAAATACGTCGGATTAAGATCAATCCAACTTCCTTGTACTTTCGCCGTTAACGTTCACAGTTAAAACATTGGACCAAGTAACCGTGGTCTTAATAGCACTTGTGCTAATTGGTTTTAAATCATTTAAGCTGGACGCGTATAAAAATCACGATATTTTTCCTTTGGTGAAAAAATTGCAGAATTATCAAATCCGGTCCACCTGTTGGCGAGAGGACACTGGCGCAGGCGTTAATACGTGTTGGATTAAGTACGAGCGCTAAACACTGCAGTTTTGACATCTGCTGCATGAGTTATCGAATTACACAATGTCTTCAACATAAATAACGTACTTCCAGCACCAGTGGTCGTAAGCCAGCCCCGCCCCATTCCCGTCTTACACGGCGCCCACCCCATCAATGCACCGACATTAATAACATCGTATTTCCCGGAGAACTCCTTACATCTGCAAATCTTAACAGGCATGAGTCTTCTTAAAAAACACGGGAACAGGCATGCTGTATTTAACTTTTCAAGTCTTATGGAGTTGTACTTCAAACCTTAAAGACGTTACGACCCACAGGAATATCAGTTAGCTTATTACTTCAGTATGGAAATACCGTGAATGTTTCCTTCAGCGAATGTAACGGTAAACTCCGATCATGAAATGCCTGAAACTATAGGCTGGAGTGGCCAACGTATTTCATTACTGTTTACTCGAGTTTTTACATACCCGGCGTGTCATCGTATCCCAATTGCGCAGATCGATGCTCATGATGTTGATCACTGGATTGTCTGGTCCAGACTCAATTATTTACAGACCGCCGCCATATAGCTGGAATATTGCTGAGTGCGGCGTTAAACAACAGCAACAACGACAAAAAAACATAGGCGGTATCTATCGAAGTTTTACACGTCTTACGCCCCTTATCTCGACGAGTACGGCTGTGTGAACGTATGTGTGGAGTGAGTGACTTATTCCAGTCAGTGGGGTTGGAGGGAGGGTTGATACCCGTGTATACGACCACGTGAGCAACGTCTTTGACCACTTGAATGTCGCCATTTCAGCCAATGAAAGAAAGATACTGACTGACTGACTGAGTTTTGGTTTTACGCCGCTTTTAGCAATATTCCAGCTACATCACTGCGGGGGACACCAGAAATGGGCTTCACACATTGTACCCATGTGGGGATTCGAACCCGGGTCTTCGGCGTGACGAGCCAACGCTTTAACCACTAGGCTACCCCACCGCCCCGAAAGAAAGATACAGCATAAACCGATATGAAGTTTGGACACTGGTAAGATAAAGGGAGTTTATGTAGAAGTGTTTATAGCATGTGAAGAAATTAAGACTCGAATTCGAAACAAGCGGTGTTGGGTGATGTGAATTGTATAGGTTATATATTATTATTGATTTGTTTGTTTGGTTAACGTCGCACTCAGCAACATTCAAGCTATATTGCGGTGGTCTGATCTGTAAATAATCGAGTCTGGAGTAGACAATCCAGTGATCAACAGCATGAGCATCGATCTACGTAATTGGGTTTATATGATTATGAATCATGGGCCATAATCGTCCATGTGCATACTGACATATATATCTATATGAGTTTCCTTAACAATCTGGAGTACGCACATATAATCATGAATCGAAAAATACGAGTCTCATAAAGACAAATCAAGGTTGTGGATAACATACTGACAATCCTTGAAAAGGTGTGTTTTCCCTCGTTGTTTATCGCATATTTCTCCA